ACAAAGTGATTAGCCAATCCTCGTACTTATATTTGCTCCCCCCGTAAAATTCCACGTTACCCTTTGGGGGTACTTACCTCCAGGTTGAGAACCACTGAGAACCACTGAACTAGCCTTTCACCGGGCAGCACCACAAAGCATACATCGTTTGGCTCTGCAAGTGAACACTCCATGATGCAGTCCACGACAAATTTGAACAAAAATGTGGAAATTGGGCAACTCTGACAAACGCTATTTGTTGTTGAAAGGCATCCGACAAATCCCAGTAGACCCTGACGCGACCTGTCGTTTGCAAGTACAGAGCAAGTAAAATGTTCATATGTTTCATTCATCGATCGACTGAATCGGAAACAGTCTTGTAGTCCAGGAACACACTTATTATTGGCCTGCAGTATGTGTGGTGCAAGTCCAGCACCTGCCGCTGAGGGAATATGTGGTCTAAACAGCCCCGTCCTGGGCGGAACCCTGCCTGCTCTTCCCTAATCCGTGATTCCCCCTCCACAGTGAGGCGAGAATGAGAATTGGGGTCAGTAAGTTTGTCACCACCGGCGTTAGGCTATTACCCATGTGCTTAGTACAGTCGGCGAGGATACCCTTTTCCATATTGCAAACTACAATTGATCCACGGTCATAGCCTCTACCTTCCAGACCTGTTCAAACAGGGCCAGTGCTTCGCAGAAGATTTCACATCCATCCTTGAATACTGCAGCAGGGAGGGAATCCAAGCAAGTAGCATGAAAACGATTAATGGCTCTGCTCGCGTTTCGGAGCTCAGCCTCCATCCAAATCTCTAAACTAACTGGTCATGGCTTAGCTAGCAACGCTTGAATAGGAAGAAGTCCAGAAGCAGAGGGACAACTGAACTGCTCTCGAAAGTGTTCCGCTCAACGAAGCATACAGCGCTCCTTATTGTGTATCAGTGCAACTGCGCTGTCTCTGATTGTCTCGCTGACGCCTGGTTTCTAGGACCCTTAGTGCGGATCATTTGGAAGTGCATGTGATAATTGCACACTGCTCCTGCTTCCTCCATTTCTGGACCTCGACTGGTCCTCCGGCTTCCTTGTCAGCACCCCAGCTCCGCCCTAATTCGCGCCTAATAGTCTGCCAGGTTACATTGTGCTCTGAGCCAGCTGGGAGATTTCTTCTGGATTCAGAAAAGTTCAACGACCTCTCGGATGTCAGTGACTGATGCGGTGACCATTGATAGTGCCGCAAGCAGATGCTCCTGTGTCGTTCATGACGGCCAAGATCTTATTCCACTGAAGCGCAGTGTCACTAGGACAATAGACCGAAATTTCTGTACGCAGGGCATCCTGATAGACTACGCCGACCGAAGGCTGAGATAATTTCTCCACTGCCAATCGAGGAGAAGCTTGGCTCGCCCCTCGGTAAAGGTTATGGAAAAACGACAGCGTAGCAACGCACGATCAGAATCAACGCAAGTACTCCAGAAAGAGCGAGAATTTAGGATGGAATCATGCCATCTGTAACTTTTGGCAATGTGATCTATTTAGGTCCGTCGCTTGTCGGTTACAGGATGACGCCAAGTGGCACTAAACACTCACTGTGTCTAAAAGCCGTGATACTAAAAGCAGCTGTTGCTCCGCACACAGCTGTAGCAGATGTTTGCCGTTGTCCGTGCATTAGAAACTAAGGCCATTCTAATCACCCAGCTGAGCTTCTGAAGAGCCAAGACAACCCACTTGCGCATTCATATCCTCTGAAACAACGACGATTTTTGAACCGGCAACACTGCGCAGTGGCGTGTTCAGTTCGTGGTAGAAGGCGTTCTTGGTAGCAGCAGAGCTGCAGTCGGTGGGGGGCATAAGCAGAAATCACAAACAAACAGCGTCTTGTACTACTTCGTGAATTAACCTAAATTGATGATGTCTAACGGGCTGCACACAAAGAGCTGTTCGCGGGAATCCAATCAAGTATCGATGACCCAGCCTTGGAGCTGAGAACAATGCACATTCCAGCTTGACCAGTGCTTGCTGCATCAGCATCTCGGGGTGCGTGCAACCAACAGCGAGAGGACAAACTGGAAGCAGTTAATCCAACAACTCCGTGAGCGTCGTTTATTCTAGCTTCGGACACACAACAGACGTCAATACCCAGCGTGCCTAACGAGCGCGTGAGTGCTGCCTTTTGACTTATTTGTCGTAGAGTACGAACGTTGGACGCCGCCAGGGAAACGGGACAGTGTGGCCTCATAAGGAGCTGTTGGCGATTGTTGACCAGTGGGTGGTGCGGTAAAATGCCTGTAGATGGTGTGACTCCAGTGACATTGCGTCTGCTGTCAATTGAACTGCGAATTATAGCAAGAATGCTAGTAACGGGAACTGGAAGGGTAGTAAGAGAAACAGGCGGAAAAGAAAGAAGGAGGCGGCAACTGTAGGATGTTTTCGCTTATCCGCCCTGCAGTATGGCCGCAGCTAATAATTTGGATATTGTTGAAGTTCGAAAAAGTAGACATGGTTGTATGTGGGCTGAGATACTTCCAGGCGTGCAGATCTAGACAGGAGGAAGATTAGAGTCCTCAACCAAAACCTTCGGCTAGAAAGCCTATACACAAGGTAGCAGGGAGGTGGTCACTTTTTTGTTTTGCAGAAGTGGATGCCAGCCCATTTCAAACTCTGAACCTAGAGGCTCAGGAGGCTGAGTTCATCTGGTCTCTAACTGTCGAGCAACATGGTAAGATTAGCTCTTAAGTGTGCCAAGGGCCCCACCCAAAACAGCTGAATGGGTCAATGAGGCACACACTCCGTTACACTACCTTAAGGTCCAGTCTCGTTGCAACTTCTACTTCGGTATTTACGGACTCTCAGAATCCTCCACCACAATATAGTCTCAACTTGCCCCATTCATAGTGAAAGTTAATCAGTTGACAAGCACTAAAATGATAGATATATTAAGAATATATTAAGGTTATCGAAAACTAAATGTAGTGAGGCGTACCGATTAGTTTTGCCTCCCGGGGCGATGGCAAATTTTCCGCCCTGATTGGGGACAGAATAAGCACACGAAGGCCATGCAATCGGCTCGGGGTAAAGTGCATACTAGTTTTCGATGAAATGGGTGATTGTAGGTGACCCTGAGGTAAATGTGCTGACAGTGACCACCATGGGACAAGTAGGGGGAAAGCCAGGAAGAACGTTCACACAGACGTGACAGATGGTGCACACGGGTTATTGGTCATAGAATAAGATTAAAATATGTAATCCTTTGCTTATAATGGTAGTTTGCTATGCATATTTTGTACCGAACAATGGACGGTACTACAAATGCCGCCCCCTGTCACATGCCGCCCGGGGCCGACCACACCCACGCCCCCTTACGCTACGCCACTGGCTAGTTGTATCGTCTCGTTACTGTAGGAAGTAAAACGATATCGTCGGTGTAACCTAAAGCAACGCTTCCTCCAAACAGGCTCCCAATACCTGTATGGTGAAATCGTACGAGGGTACCTTATGATGGCGTCTATGACAAAAAGGATTCAATCGAGCATGTAAGATAATCCTTTCGAACGTCACTTGCTACCAAATGTGCGTTTGGTAACCAGTGCAAATATTAATACTATTCAGGGTATTCCGAAGAAAATAGAAGCAAGAGATTTCGTGGAACTATATTTCTGGGCAAATATGTTAAAGAAACGACTAGTTCGACTGTAAACAGATGCACCACTACTCCGCCTACGGTACGTGGGACTTTGCTATAGTACCTGCTGTAGCGTAAAAGCATGACACATGCAGCCTCGGCTGTGTTGTTTCGCTCAGCATAACACTTTGAAACCGAATTCCAGTCTCCGAACCTGGGTGTCTAAACGACTGGTAAGGTACGAAAGACGATCAAGGTTAACCGGAATACGCTTGGCCCCTGTCTTCCGATAACCGTCTTACGTTATTTTGTGGGGCTCCAAAGCAGATTTTGATGTCGTCGGGCGTAGTGGACCGTTGCGGTTCTGAGTGCTAACCGACATCGAGCCCTAACCAGGAGTTTATATGCCTTAGTCCAGGAACTCCATCTATTTCTCAAGCTGTTTCAAAGGAGTGAAAGGTTTAGGTTGATTTAAGTCCTACAAATTGCCGCTGAAACTGACGAAGGTCTGCACTCTATGTCCCAATGGGATCATCATTTTCATTCAAGCTGTTCCGTAATAGGTTATGGTGATCGGGTGAAATACATTTCTGACACTGGTGTTTACATCTAGACAATCGAAACCACATGAAGTACACCGATTGCGAGCAGACGCATATTAATAGTTTAAGTTCCGTCCCATGATTGCGTTTATTGCGCACCCTTTTTCGCTCGATATACCTCCGAAAATAGCAGTATGTTCAGTGAAAAGGACAATGCTCGTCAACAAAGAACGACGCACGGATTTTCTGTACGTATGGTTTGGTAGGAATCGAGACGGACTTCACTGCTGCGATTCTAACCTAGCAGCTATGACTTCATTGCCAACGTACTCCGGGTGTCCCATAGCCCTGTGTTTTGATGAGAACACATCATCCAGCTCCGCGGACTGACTCAATACGCCCGAGAGACAACCGTGGCCAAGTGCCAGAGTTAGTTGTGAAGTTGGAAGCGGGAAGACTGATGTGTGATCTGAGATGGTTTACCTTTGAACTGATATCCACATCTTTAGTCCTTGGGCGCAAAACAATGCACGACTACCTACTGGAGTGGTTCAGCTGGTTTAGAAAGTCAATTCACGAGATATGCACAGAGTAAAGTCATAAAGTTATCGCCAAAGTAGGCATTTGTTAGACATTCCGACTAGCTTTAGATACTATTAACGGTATGTGATTAATAGTAATAAATCGGTGTGAACGATGTTACTGTGAAAGCTGCTCATGGAATAACATAGCATCAGTTACCATGTCACTATCTTAGGCCCATCCAAAGGTTGTCTCGATGCTGGGTGATCTCCATGAGTATGAAGCGACGTATAACAGACCCAAGGTTGCAGGGTAATGTAGACAAGAACAAGAACTCACTTTCACGAAATCAATCTTTTGTTTAATCCAGGCCAACAGATCTGATGCCAGACGCTCATATTGCTCCATCATTTGTTCATTGTCTTGGCAAGCACGAAGAACTTTCGATATCCGGCTGGTTGCGGATTCCGCCTATGGAAGGGAGGAAGTCTGATCAGTTGGATGCAATAGGAACAGGACTAACTGGGACAAGTGTTAGTGTTCACAAGGCATATCTCTGTGGCCGGATTATTCGTCGGATGGATCTGGTTGGCGAATATCATAGTAAGGTGCCGGCTGAGTCAAGACTATTATCATGGTTGGCAGCATCCAGTTAAGGATTTGCCTGTCAATACGGCTACCCTAGGACAGCTACAGGACGCCAGCGCCTATAAAGGCACTATGAGTAGCTTGCGCTACACACCCTACAACTTCTTTCGTACCCCAAATCCAGTGAAAAGCCCGAGGAATAACACCGCGAGGCATGTGGGATAGGAGTCACGTTGCATCAACTGAGCCAGCCCACATTCATTCAACATGCACAGCAGCAACATTCCTGTCCATCTATGTAGGGAATCATCCATGGTAGAAGTTCACAAGGCGTTGGCTGCGCCCGTAGTCCGCTCCACACTGGGCAGAACCACTCTTTGAGCCTAGCCCGGCCATAATGACCGTGCAGCCCGCCCCCCTAGCAACGATTCATGGTATCCTGGAGCTAGTACGGACAAGGTGGAGGGTGTTAGAGAGGTAGGCACGTTGTCAGCATTCACATGAAGCACAGCCACACAGAGGATATCAAGCAACCAACACAGAATGGGATACGTAAACACACGGTGGCTGAAAACGGATCGTCGGTAGAACAGCGTGAATGGAAGAAAATAGTAGTTCAGAAACCATTTTGAAAAGCTGACTAAAATGAACGGAGTCGCAATAGCTCACCACCACACAAATATGAAAAAGCCTTAGATTAAACGCACCTGTTAAGCAACAGGGTCGGGTGAGCGACGGAAGTAACCAAGATGACAACTAGACGGGTCACTGCACCGATTTGACTGTATAATTCATTCTGTCCACGGAGTGGCACCAAACAGAGATGTCTTTAGAGAGCTGCCAAATGCGGATGCTGGTTAATCTGTAGTCTGTCTGTTAGATAGCAAGCGTATAAGTAGGGACTGGCACATTCAGAATAACGGTTGAGTCATCTGGGCTCAAATACCGTCCGGCTGGCAAAGCCGGAAAACTCATTACATAACATGCGTAAGCACAATGTTTACGGAACAACACATAGTATATATTACTTGGCAACAAGGTGTCAAAAATGCTTCCAACTACAACAAGTATCGACAAGAGTTTGGGTTGCATCTTGGGGGCGGGATGCAATCCACGAACTCGTGTTTCAGTGATTCAATGGCGTGGCTTCTAACAATTTAAAACTCCTAGATCGTATCGGCATGCATGTACATACTTCAGCGTGCACTGTGTGTGTCCTATTAGTTGGTATACATCAAAGTTCTCTAGCTTGGTACCGTGACAGCTTGCGGCCAACCTTTGTCGAATCGTCAGCATACGGCACTGTAAATGACGGCCAATTAATAAAATACCCTCCTTTTGGCCCGTCCCATTTTTGTGTTCTGAGCAGTCCACGTGGGAAAGGCCTCACAGTCGCGAATGAATTTCCATCATGAGTTGTATTCACGCAGCTCGTCGTATGACTTCTAATGTTCAGCTGGAACCGAAGCAATATGACGCATTAGCTACAGCATAAAACCAAACACTTGTTCACTTTCCAGCTTTCGCCACAGTTGCGAAGCATGGTCGAACAGGTCCACTACTGCTGAATTAACCCTTCAATCCTTCTTCGTTGAGTTTTAGGGCCTTCGCCATGTTTTTGGATTGCGACACGGGACCTCAAAGGAGACCATAATGTACATTGAAGTAAACATGGACCAGTAAGAACAATGGGGCCAAGTGAGGGGTTTCGGTGCTTCTAACTCTAAACGATGCACACCACGACGGACCGGTTTCATCCTCCTTTGCATTCTTCAGACGCAGAAAGCCGTAGCCGTTCACTTCGGATACAGTCCCAGTGATCGGTCTGGCGGAGCCTAAGTTTAAAGTCAACCGTGGCTGCAATGCGGATGGCGTGTCGCAATCCAATCCCATGGTGGACACTCAGAAACTCAACGATCCACTTCTAAGCACCGTATCAACTGGTAGTTGCGCAGCTCTGGCTTAGTGAACAAAGCCTCCGTCGTCAACCACCGCGTTTAACGTTCTACTCTCAACTCAGGCAATTTTCATCTGTAGACACTAACTAAAGACGAAACGGGGCGTGTAGTGTTGGGGCGAGTAATAACGAAACTCACAATTTGCATCATTCCCCTGACCTGATCATTATATCTGATCCGATCGCAACTGCTAACCTCGTCCTAGCACAGTGGTGGTTCGAAACCTCGGACGGGTTTACTGTTGACACTGTGATTTGTCCCATCGCTGTGGTGACTATAGCTATGATCCCATGAATTTCCGTACTGTGTCCCAAGACCACTAGGTATTTGAGATAAGCTTGTCAATATAAACATCGGTGTTGCGTGTCAGGAGGCGCTTTTTATGATTTGGGAATACGTGACTTTCTCAGTTTTACTTCACACATACCACTGTACTGAGAAACGTGGTCAAACGCCTTCGCCAGTCGAAGCGTAGCTCATGGTGACAAAATTTGCCTTCTAGCTTAACAACATCTCCTTGGAGAGGGCTTGTGAGGTGACTACTGCTAACCATGCCAAGTTGTATCTGTGAACTTATACTAGGTACCAAAGGAATGTCACTCAACGTTGAGAGAACCAAAGCCATTAAGAAGTATTATTATTATTATTATTATTATTATTATTATTATACTTTGTCCTCCGCTTCTTACTTTGTTGGCTCCGGCAAACGCGTGATAATAGGCCGACACGTAGGTCATCACAGAGCGTTCATCCGGTCTAACTGTGTTGACCATATCTGAGAACAACGTAAAGATAAAAGGAGGATTCTGAGCAATGCAAAAGTTACGGTGCAGAAAATATTCCAGTTTTATGCCATGATGAGTATGACAACACGAGCAAAGCAGTGGTAAGCATGCAAGTAGATGCGGTATACGCTACTTTAGTGATCTGCAGAAGGACAACAGTTAGGCCTACAGTCCGAAAGAATTAGGTCCGCTAATTATCACGATTGTACTTGACAACATAATTCGAACGAATGAGATAGGTTAGCCGTGGTGACTTCGCTTCGCTAAGGCCCATACAGTGGTCTACGATGAAGTGTGCTCCGTTCGTCAGGTGCCAGGGGCTATGGTGGGCAAATTGGGTGGCAAGGAATTCTCCAACATTCTAGCGATTTGTTACCAGGACTGTGTTCGGATAACTGAGAGAATAAGCACTCACTAGCTGTACAGGGTAACTGTCAGTATGTGCAATTACACGGCTGAAAAGTCAGCGGAAGAATCAGCCGCATTCAATGGTGTTCAAGAGAGCTCCACCATGTAAGTTTTGGATAGACACCATTGCGAAATAGACCCCTACCTATTTTACGTACAACCGGAGCATGGGACTGTGCAAAACAGTTAAACACCGTAACAAGCAGTCGCAGATGGAGCCCGATATGCCTGAGGTATACCGACACTGGAGAGGAAGCTCGTGGGAACTGAACGCGGGACAGTTTTCGCGCGCGCCCCCCGTTGTGCTTGAGTGTCAACAGCAGAGGAAACAGGCTGGAAAGACCCTATCCGCTGAGCGCGGCATTTACAGCAAGCGGACAGTGCACTTGTTAGAAAACATGTGCTAGATGTATGCTGCTGATAGCCTTGTGCGACGTTGGGCGGAAGAGAAACGTGATCAGTGGCGTCATTTTAAATTTTCTGGCCGAGAAATTTTAAACTTGTGTAAATACACGGTGTATGTCTCTAATTCGCACAGTTTTGTTGAGATGTTTTGGATGAAGCAGTATTGTTCAAATTTTAGACAAATGGGCCTCGTAGTTACGGATTACAATACGAGCGCAGCGACTGAACTTAGATGGTCTCTAATGAAAGTCTCGGAAAGTGTTCCACTACATATCAGAGCTTAAGCTCTCTGTATGTGGCATTACGCATCGATCTCCAGACCACACCATAAGAAAGGGGCTCAAACCGCAGCCTATTCGTTTCAATCTTATGTTCTGGAGAAGGTATAAGAGATGATAGGTTCGCATTACCTAAGTGTCGTAGACGGAATAGATAGTTGCTGAACACTTAATGTGATCTTAGGTCAAAGGGATACGAAGGCTACCCTCGTTGATGGATGTGGAACTTGCAACGCCTGTCCTGCTGATCCGATTTCAGTGGATAAATGAATATGAAACCCGAAGCTCTTAAGAAGCCAGATGGTTCGACAGCAGAGCGTGGAAACTGCTAGACTAGATCTATTTCAAACTCAGCAGGAAGACTGACCAGTAGTATTTTCAAAACTTGGCACCCAGAGCTTTTGATGTAGATACTTCCAAAAGTGGATGCTTGGTATTTCTCTATTCGAAGTTGCAACTAAGCAGTTATTTCGCCCACGGAGCTTGCAGTGCCTAACTTGCTGAGTAGATTTCAGCGCACCGGTTGATCTCAAAGCTGCAACACCTAAGAAGCACGGTAGTCTGGCAGCGGAATAATGAAACGGCTAGACTACCTCAACTCATTTTGAAACGAACCGGGTGGAGCGGGAAAATGAGCTCGTCTGCTCAGTGCAGTGCACCCATCTGATCACTTTTGGTATTCTGCCATGGGCGACATCCTCTGAAAGACGTGTACATCCTAGCTTTCTCCGTGAACGCCAGAAGCGTTACTAGACGGGTTAAAAGATGTAACCCCTCAATTGAGAATCCTGACAGTTAATGGGTTAAGTTCATGATAAGCACTTGGTACCTGTTGTGGGTTCACTCTATACTTCGTATACAACAGTACCCAACTCTTGTAATGTTGCTATCACAAATAGTGACTGCCCTGTATGGCACTTACTGAACTTTTTAACTAAACTATCACAGACTGACTACAGTGTTTGCTACAGCCGGATGGGAACTGTCATTCACTTCTCTTCGAAACCCACCCTATTCCCATTATTCTCCTACCGGTAAACTTGATGCTGCAAAAGTGTGCGCGCTGGATGAATGTTGGGACTGATGACCGAAAGTTTACAGGATGCATCGCAAGCATGTGCAGTGAGCAAGCGCACAGAAAGGGTTCCCTCATTAACCTTACTGGTACCCATAGCGTTGCGCACTAACTCACAGGCGACCTACCTGTTTAATGTTGTGAAAGAGAAATATCACAACACCGGATAGCGCAAGTTGAATACCACAGCTGGACCGTAAGGTTAATGACAGATCCACCGGCTACTTCTAGATAGCCGCAATAAAGAGCAAGATGTAAGATCAGCATACTATGTACGGTAGTGTTATTTGGTTTGTGATATGCAACCAACAGAGCTTGGCTACCTAGCACTTTCATCATCTAATCCTGTTCTACGCAGACAGAATATCAGCGTGCTTTAGTAAAGTGTACATATTGGTAGCGACTATGGTTGCACGAAAACTGGTGGTGGTGATGGTGGTGGTGTTGGGAATCACTAGAACAAATTGATCTCGCGTGCCCAGCCCACTCCGTTTTTCTGCTGCAGCTCAGCGCTATAGTAAATATCACGTAACGATTTACAAAACCTGTGTAATACAATACAACAGTGTGCAGGTAAAGTCGCTGGTGCAAGGGGCGAAGGGATTCGTGTACCGAACGGAGCTTGTGAATCAGTGAGGCCTACGACGTCACCAATCAGATGTGAACTACACAGACTCGGCTATTTGCCGTAACAAGCTCTGCTGATTGGATGATGGTCGCCGTGTTGCTAAAATGGATAAACGAAAGAACGCTATTGGTGGCACTAAGTCGTTTTTAATGATGCTAGCCGGGTAGTATATACATGACAGTTGTGTGCAAGTAAAATACGGGGTATTTTTATGCTACCCAAACTTCGCCAATATACCGTTCGTACTTGGAGGGCAAACTTTCAATGTACAAGTTGGAGACCATAGGGGGGAGGACAAGCAGTATTTAGCAAAATCCAGATGACCAAATGAAATAATAGATTTAGATTGACACAACTTGAAACGGAGTGAATCACAACTATGTTTCTACAACCATTAGGCACTAACTTGCCTTCTGGGTCCAGCATGCGCGGAATATCCAGGTGCTTCTCAGCGACATCGAATGCGTAGTTCAGGTTGTGTAATGGGTTGTCCTACAAGAGACATATGAGTTGTGTTATGCTCTCCAAAGAGCTTCATAAAGGGGGAACTAAAAGGGTCACTCCTTCAGGGGAAAAGGTACAGCTCATTCCAACTCCGCATGCAAGAGAAGACATAACTGGGATAGGAAAAACTAAGTCTACCACTGGTTTTGATGCATTACTCAGGAATATGCAGTAACCAACTTAGGATCAGGTAGATAAGTTTTCGGGTACCAATTTATAGTAGGAAGTCAGCCTAGTGGAATATACCATGGAACACTTTTACCTGGGGCTGAATCGTAACGCAGTAAGACTAGCACCAGCATGTTGTCCATTGGGTAGAATAATTATAAATAATAATAATACGTATATTTTTCTTAATGAGAGAAACTGTCTGTAGCGGCACAGATAAATTTGTACAGAAGTACCCATGCTCTTACATGGATGACATGCATAGTTGGAGTATTGGGATGTGCGTTTCATGTATTAACATTCTGGCGGATGGTTGACGCCAAAACCCAGTTATGAACACATTGGTGTTCATATGTTTTGGGCAAATCTTGGAATAGCTCATCGAGGGATTTTTCCCATGTAAATATAGAGATTATGGTAGTTATATCAAGTTAATTGACGAGTCTGCTTCTAAATGTTCCCACATTGTCACATGACCTGAGTGTAATTGGTAGTTGACTCCACAGACAGTTATGTCTGACCAGGAAGAAATTAGAGCGGATATTCGTTCTAGCCTTCCGTATATTCAGTGTTAACGCTTTATTGCGAAGCGCTTGAATTGAGCAATATTGTAATTTGAGTGTAGCTAGGTCGGAATAGGTCTTTTTGTGTAGCACGTTGAAAAGTAGCAACAAGTTGTGCTTCAATCGTCGAATCCAAAGGGGTTAGAGATGAAATACAATGCAACATTCTCGATAACTCATAGCAGATTAGATATTGGGTGTTGCCTGCCCGAAAACACTGCATTACTATGACACATTTCGATATTAGTACATCTCATCAGATAGAGTTAGCAGGCATGGCACCCGGAACCATCGGGATGTTAGATGGGACCGCTACCCCGTTACGCGCTATCTCATTGTTGACTGCGATTCCCATTGAAGTGAACCTTGGTCTTTCGATCACGAGGACCGTAGCTGATGCAAATAGAAATTGGGTGTTGCCCGCCTGAAAACACCACTATTATGACGCGTTTCGATGTTATTACATCTCATCAGATGGCGTTGGCAAAAATCGCGGTCAACATTGAGATTATGCGCAACAATCCATCCACACACCGTATACTTAAAAGTGACCCTCAATATCATAGCAGTGTTTACCAAGTAGATGTTTAGCAAATGGCCTCTGCAGGTGCTCCACAGCAATGCTGTCACTCTTTTTCATATTGCCGTGCGTTGTTTGCTCACCGGGGATGTGGGTGGAAGAAGAGGAGAGGTGGCCAAGCGATGACTTGGTCCAGAGGAATGAAGGCCCTCACTTCGGAGCTGGCCTCAGTTGGAGCTTCACGGCTCCCTGGTTGGGGTCCAAAAGACGGTGAACACGTTTGGCTGGATACACTTGCTGATATGGCAAGGAGCCGACCTCAGTGGCGTTCCTGCTGTGAGTTTCTTTGTCCCTCCCCATCCCTTTAGCCTCCCCGTCCATCTACGATCTTATTTCGTAGGGTAAAACGTAATTAAATTTTTTTTTTCGCATAGTAGCTGGCTGGTAGCTTACCGGAACGATGCGTATCCGTTGCTGGTAGCTCAGCTGGCATTCAACTGTCGTATTTATTTTTCCTTTATGTATTGTATGTAAGTATGTATTTCCTTTATGTATTGCAGTACAATAGCGGAGGTGTTTTACCATCTCTAGCTGACATGTATAATGATGATGATGATGATGATGATGATGCTGAACTATTCGAGAATGGGGCGAGTGAACAATGAACAATGATTTATAACGGGTAAAAAAGCAAGTGCTTGACATGTCCCGTAGGGTGGTCAGAGTGAGAAAAGACAGATCAATGGATAATGGAATCGTCGGTTCGGGCGATTACAGACGTAACTGCACTGCCGTATAAAGGGAGTTTGAAATTAGAATGTGCGCACACAAAGCCATAAGGGGAGTGCTTATTGATCACTTAATGGGCGAGAAAAAAATTAGCAAGCACAACGCTTACTCGTGTGCAGCTATCTCGGCTCGAAGGGATAGAGAAATCCAGTTTCTACAGTAGTAGCGTTTATCAAATTGTGCGCAAGGGGTTTGGAGTGATTCATTCTAGAGTAGGGTTATGGCACTGTCCACTGTCTGTTGTGCATTAGTGCCAACATCTGTTGGTCATGGGCTATAGCACGTAGTGTAAATGTGATAGAATATCGTCAAGGCGTTTTTTGAAAAGGGATAGGGTGGGTGCATTAATTACATGTTCCGGGAGGACGTACCAAGGTTGTGACACTGGAAGGGAGAAAAAGTTTCGCTTGAAAAGCTCAACTCTATCACGATTTGTGTGGATTTTGTGTGATATATTGAACATAGACCGTCTGGCGCGTGCCCCTTTGGTATTGGACCTGTTCGGAGAAATTGTAGTTAGATGGGCAACTAATTTAAAGATCTCGCGTGGACAACTGTGCAGGGATGAGTTCATTGTTCCGGGTGATAAATCCTTCGGGGATGCAGCAGCCGTAAGACATGATGCTGGATTTCTTAGCCCAGAGGTTCATTATCAATGTGCAGCACCATGGCTTAAGGGAATGTAAGTAAAAGAGACGCAAGCGGAGCACGTAGGCTGTCTGTCACATGCAAACGTCAGCAGCACGGGCGCGGTACGACCTTTGATTTTTCCGCCGAATTTGAGAGTCAAGTGCCAAGTGATCGGCTAGCAAATACAAGTTGGCGGCAATGGAATCGAACTATTCTGTCAATATGGTAAACCTGTGGAACGGAATGCACTCACAATGGCTGAAAACCAGACGCAGAAGCGTGGGTGACCTTGACCTCCGAAATCAGCATGTTTCGGTTACCAATACATAGAGCTGACCTAGCCTGTAGACATTTTCTCTTTGCCTACCGTGTTCGGGCCTTTCGTATTAGTTTGGTTGGCTGGGCGCGTGACTGAGCAGTCAGACGGTCGCAGTATCACAGGCGAAGTAAGGCAGCAGTACAGCAGTAGCGACATGAGTCAGAAGAATCCAAAGATGTAAGTTAGTTTTGAACAATTGCAGGCTCTGTTGCAGCAACAGCTAGTTCAGTTTGAGAAAGTACAGGTCAAGCTGATCGAAACCCTAGCTCAGAATTTGTCACTACAAGCAGGCTCGATAACAGAGGCACAAACCTTGACCCAGCAAGTTTGTGGTTTCCGTTACAATGCCGAGGCCAGTATTACCTTTGAATCGTGATTCCATACATATGAAGACTTGTTTCGCGTTGATTTATCCAGTGTCTCAGTTGACAAGAGAGTTCGCTTCTTGCTGCGGAAATTAGGCGCAGTCGAGCATGAACAGTTCATGAATTTTATCTTACCGAAGGAAAGCTCTGATTTAACATTTGATGAAGCGGTTGCTAGTTTGTCACAGCTATTTGGAGAGCAGTCGTTACTATTCAATATCCGATACACGTTCCTGAGAATGACCAAGCGAGAGGACGAAGACTGGGTTACTTACTCGGGTCGCGTGATTGCGAGTGTGAACGGTCGCTGTTTCACAAGATGACTGATGATCAGTGCAAGTGTCTTATTATTTATGTGCATGGTCTTCAAGCGACCAAAGACGCTGATGTCCGAACAAGAGTACTGAGCAGAATTGAACAAAATTCCGATGTCACACTGCAGGAAGTGACGAACGAATGCCAACGGTTGATGAAATTGAAGCCCGATGCTGCTTTGATCCAACAGTCATCCACCCCGAGTAGCCAGGGCATCATTTGCAAGGTCAGTTGAAGCCCTCAGAAAAAAATCGATGTATGTGAGTTCAGCACATTCTAAACCCCCAACTGCTTGTTGGTTTTCTAGTGAGTGGCACTTTGCTCGAAACTGCCCGTTCCGGGATCACATTTGCAATCGCTGTGATAAGAGAGGACACAAAGATAAGTGTTGTCTTGCGAAGCGACCAACAGTGGCGGAAAATAGCCTCGAGTCCCGGTGAGTTTCCGATGACACGACGAGATCAAAGCTGTTACGGCGACTTTCAAGCTTGACGTCGTTAGCGGACGTAAGTTTACAAGGTTGCAAATCAATGCGAAAGAAGTTAGGCTGCAGCTGAACACCGCGTCAGACGTCACCTTGATTTGTCGAGACACATGGCTTATGCTGGGACGACCACCGCTTGTCCACACGGACCACACAGCACGGAACGCATCCGGGAGTGGCTTGAAATTATTCCGAGAGTTGCATTGTCAGGTTAGTTTCCGCTGTCAGCACAGTTGTACAACCAGTTTTGTGACAGATCAGCCTAGATTGAATTTTCTGGGTCTCAACTGGATCGAGGAGTTGAACTTACTTGATCAGTCAGTTAACCGTATATGCTAGAAGTTACAAGTCGAGAAACCTGCAGAGACGTAGAACATGAACCTCGAAGTTTACAGTCAAATTGCAGAACTGAAGCGACGCCACGAAAGTTTGTTCCAACCCGGTCTTGGATGTTGCAGGATAGCCAGAGCTGAGCTGAACCTCAAACCAGACGCCAGACCAGTGTTTAGACCAAAACGTCCAGTGCCGTACGCAACACAACCAATAGTGGAGTCTGAGTTAAATCGATTGCGGTCGGAAGGCATAATCGAGCGCATAGATTACTCAGAATAGACGGAACCCATCGTTGTGATAAAGAAAGGAAACGGCAAGGTACGTATTTGTGATGACTTTTCAACCGGCTTAAATTCCGTGTTGGAGAACCTCCAGCACCCTTTGCCTATACCTGAAAATGGGTTCACCAAGCTTAACGGTGGAAAATGGTTTGCGAAACTCGGTCTAGCTGATGATTACTTACAAATTCCAGTAGCCGAGAACTGCAGAGCACTACTGACAG